AGTAAACATTTGTTGAATGAAGTTGAGTGACTGAGCCAACAGCAGAAAAGAGAATAAAAGCTTTTCTGTGATCTTTGGAGTTCTTTTCAACAAGGTACTCAGCAGATTTATTTCACCTTGACAAAGTGACACCTATATTATTAATGCCTAATATACATCATTTTTGAACATACATAGGAGATATAGAGCTTAAACAGATTGGTGAAACTGACTTTAATTTTCAGTGAGATTTTATTTCATTATTTGTCAATGATCAATTCTTAGAACAAAGTTTAAACATAATAAATCTTTTATACATTTACTCTATATCCTGCATGTGTACCTGCTGACACTTGAGGTTAAGGTGTCTATTTTTTCTTCTCTGACAGGAAATCCATACTATGTATGATTTAATAGGTTTTTTTAGAGCACAGAATTGAACATGCCAGGAAAATCAACCTTATTTGTTGTCCTTTATTGGAATATATAGTCCATTACATTTAGTGTAATTACCGATCTATTTGAGTTTAAATCTACGACTTTTTAATATACTTTCTATCCTGCTTGTTGTATATGATTTTTTCTCTTCTTTTGGGTTTTTAAAAATTATTCCATTCGCCTCCTCTATTACCTTGTATGTCACTTTGGTTAATTAACATCTAACATAAATAATATTTTTACCAGCTTCTGAAAAATGCAATGATCGTGGAGCACTTCAACTCCATTTACCCCTTCCTACATGTGCTATTTAATTCTATGTGTATTTGAAAACCCACAATATATTATTTGTAAATATTTATTTAGATTTATCTATATAGTTAACCTTTCCATTATACTCCATTTCTTCCTTCTTCTCCCTGATCCACCTAGAGTCATTTTACTTCTGCTTGAAGAACACTCTTTAATTTTTCCATTATTGCAGGCATGCTATATTAATTCTCTCAATTTCTCTTGTTCTGAAAATGACTTTATTTTGAATTCATTAAATTTTTTCAATAAACTTTATGAAGAATAAATAATTTCATATTGAGGGATCTATTTTGCTAGAATAGGCTTCTAGGTTGTCAGATGTTTTCTCTCAACATCTTGAAGATATCATTCCAATAGTTTCTGGTTTCCATTATTGCTGTTGAGAAGTCACTTGTTAGACTTATTTTTGCCCCTTTGAAGGTTGTCTTTCTCCTGTAGCTGCTGGTAAGGTTCTTTATCTATGTCTTTCTGTTCAGCAGTGTTCCATTGCCTGTTGCTACATAACAAACACTTCTGTGGATAGATTGTAGTTTCAAAAGATGACTACAACAATAATCCCATCTCACATGCTCTTCTAGAACCTATCAGGAGATAGAATCTATATATACTTTCCTTGCACCTGAGCTCTTTGTGTCTGCTTCCACCAACAGAGTACCATGAAGTGGTACTATGTGAATTCCAAAGCTAGGTCATTAAAAAATGCCACATATTTCTGCCTTCCTCTCTTAGGACATTCATTCTTTTTTTTCCCCCCTCCCCAAAGCCCCAGTACATAGTTGTATATCCTAGTTGTAAGTCGTTCTAGTTCTTCTACGTGAGCCACCACCGCAGCATGGCAACTGACAAGACAGGAGGTGTGGTTCTGTGACCAGGAAGCGAACCCGGGCCACCAAAGCAGTGAGCTCCAAACTTTAATCATTAGGCCATCAGGGCTGGCTTGGGACATTCATTCTCGAAACTCAGATATCATGCTGTGAGGAACCTCAAGCAGCTTGTGAAGAAATCCATGCCCTCAGGAATCACAGCTAGTGTTAGGACTAGGTGACAGGTGGAAGCTGGAAGGGCTTCAAGGAGACTGTTATTGAGAGTCTAAAGGGCCCCACAGAGGCTATTTTGAGGGCTTAAAGAAAAGCAAGACAAAATTTTTGGAAGCCGGTGGCAACATCTGCAGTATAGTGAAAAATGGGGATTTATACCTAATGAATTCAATGATCTAGCTAAGGTGATTTCTCAGTGGGGGATTGAAAGTACCACCTGGCTGCTTCTTGCTGCCTAAAATAAAATGCAAGAGGAAGGGGTGAGCTAAAGAATGAACTGTTAAATATGAAGGAACCAGGACTGCCAAGTTTGACAATAATACTGTTTCTCATTCCCAACCTCTCCAGATGGCAAATTATTCTTTAATTTAGAAAGGACCTCACACCAAAGTCAAATGCAGGGTAGGTCTGTGGGACGTCCTTTGTAAAGACCTCAGAAAGATTCATGGTAGTGATTCATAGAACATTTCAGACTGAAAAAAGTGCCTCTAAAGACTTTAAGGTCTGCCTAACAGATCCTGTCTATCAAATAATAGAGCTTCTGGGAGTCCTAAGGGTGTTGTCCTGCAGCATCCTCTCAGGGAACCCAAGGTAGAGATGTTCTTATCTCAAACAGATTTGTAGTGTGTATTTTGTCTAATGGAGTGAACTCCACTAAGATTTTTAGAACACATATAGTTCTTAAGAGAATTGTTCTGGTCGAAGCACTATGAGCTTGAAGTAAAAGAGAGAGAGTGCAAACTAAAAAGAGACCTTTGGATTCATAATCTTTTCATCCAGGAAACAGATTGAAGAGGCTTTTGGTTGCTGATTCAGTTTTCTTATGGAAAAAAAACGTTTCAACCCAGAGGGTGAAACTAAGAGCTACCGAGAACAACACACAGAGAGTAAACTGAGCACCAATGAAAGAATTAGCAACAAGTTCTTAGATGGATTTCAAAATTGCTAGGGGCCGGTGACTGTTTTATGCCTCTCATTTTCCCCATTTTTGAACAGGAATATCTACGACTTATCTTTTACCTATCCCACCACTGTATTCTGGATATGTATATGCAAGGATCGTTAACCTGTTCCTTTATTTCACAGGTCTTCAGATTGAGAACAATGATATTCAAAGAACTATATCCAAGACATTGTACCTGAGAAGCCTCATCTGTACCTAGATCTGATGTAGATGATGCAATCTGGCACCTTGAGCTTGAGCATGAGGCTGTAATGGAATGAGACTTTTGGTGGGCATTGGAAGAGTGATGGGTATGCCTTACCTGTGGGAGTAATGTGATCCATTGTTAGCAGGAAGGCAGATTTTCCAAAGATGGTTACAATGTTTCTTGTTCCATATGGCCTTCTAGAACCTTGCCCATTTCCTTTTAAGAGGTAGGCTCTATGTTCTCCTTGAACTTGGGTGGATCGTTGTGACTGTCTTGACCAATTGAATATGGCAAGAATGATGCTATGTAGCTTCCAAGACTAGGTCAAAAGAATGCCATGGAATTGTGCCTTGCTCTCTTGGGATACTTACTCTTGGAACTCAGCCTAGGTAGCCAGTGAAAAGGCCCACGTGGAGAGAAGTTGAGATCCCCTATAAGCTGCAGTCCTGCCTGAGTTCCTAGCTGACAGCCAATACCACCCTCCCTACCATGTGAGTGATTATCTTGAAAGTAGATCCTCTAACTCTCCGTAGAACTGCCAGTTGGCTACATTGCCATGTAGCCAATGCCACTTGGAATAGAGGTGATCCATTCCTACCAAGTCCTTTCCAATTTGCACTCTTGAGAGAATACATGGTTGTTTTAAACCACTATGTTTTGGGGTGGTTTGTTACCCAGCAACAGATAATGCAACACACCCCAAACCATAGTCTCATAAAATAACAGTCATTTGTTTTGCTCACAAATCCACAATTTGGACAAGGCTTTACAGGGACCCCTCTTCTCTGCTTCAGGATACCTGAAGCCTTTGCTGGGAAGATTCAAATGGCTGGCCGCTAGAATCACCCAGAGGTTTTTTCACTCAGATATCTGGTACCTGGGCTGAGATGACTCAAAGGCTGAGCTCAGTTGGGACTACCACAGGAAGGGCCTACAGTTGGCCTCTGCATGTGTTTGGGGCTTCCTCACAGCATTACAGCTTGAAAATAGTCAGACTTCTTACATGGTGGCTCAGGGCTCCAAGAGCAAGTGTTCCCAGGAAGCCAAGTGGGATCATCATGGCCTTTTATGACCTAGCCTCTGAAGCCACATAGCATCAATTCTGCTTGACTCTACTGATTGAAGCAGTCAGAAGCCCATTCAGATTTGAGGAGAGGGGACATAGATCTCCCACTTCTTGGTGGGAGAAATGTCAAAGAATTTATGGCTATTTTATAAAACTGCAACAAATGGTATTTCTGTGATACGTTAAATATGGTATTCTTTATATTTATCTTGCTTGAGGTTTATAGTTGTCATGGGTTGAATGGTTGGATCCCCCCCTCCCCAATTCATATGTTGAAGCCATAACCCCCAGTGTGATGGTTATTGAAGGTGGCACCTTTAGGAGGTAATTAGGTTTAAATGCGGTCATGAGAGTGAGGCCCCCAGGGCTGATTAGTGTCTTTATAAGAAAAAGAAGAGATATGAGAGCTCTCTCTTCCTCTCCCATTTGAGGACATAGGGAGAAGACACTGTCTGTAAGCCAGGAAATGGTGCTCAAGAGGAACTGAATCTGTTGGAACCTGGTCTCGGACTTCCCAGCTTGCAGAACTGTGAGAAATAAATGTCTATTGTTTAAGCCAGTGAGGCTATGGTATTTTGTTGTAGCAGCCCGAGCTGATTAAGACAGTGTGCTTCTTGAAAATGTTTCTTGATGTCTTTGTCAGTTTTGGAAAATTCTCAGCTATTATCTCTTCAAATATACTTACACAATGCTTTGTAGCCCTCATGTCAAGGAAAGTGAGGAATGATGCCTCAAAGGATGTCACACTATGATTTTCCAAAGTCTATTCTTAGATCCAGGAGCAAGAGGGAAAATAGGTCATAGTCACTCACCTTTGGGACAGAGTTTAGACTTAACTATTCTAGAGACAGATGCCTCTTTCTTTACCCTGACTACTCCTCCCAGAGGATTCTTCTCTGATCTCCACAAGACAAAGGTCATTTTGGCTTTCCTTATATCAACACCTTTCTATATACTTTTGCCCAACAAAAATTCTACCCTGCTATCAGTAGTTGAACCAGTAGCAAACATTGGATGGACATTCTCCCCAGTGATGGACCATTAACCCAGTATTTGTTCAGCTTTAAATTTCTTCTATGGCTGAAAGTTTCAAGTAAAATAATCTAGAAGAAAACACAAATTTTAACAGCAGGGATGCTTTTTACTTTTTGTGTCGTATACCTTTAATTGAATCTTCTACAATAGGCCTGTCATAATAGTAAAACTATGAAAAATTACTTATTGCCAAAAGTTACCTAAAATACATCATTAATACCAATGACATGAATTTAACGTTATTCAGGGGACAAATGATTCACATAAGATTATTAAACACTAGAATCTCACCTTGAATCTCTCATGTCAACAACAGACCAATGCATTACAATTTGGGGGAAGCTCTCTTCTGGGTACCTCCAAGATATTTGCAGAAGAATGTTAGAGTTTGGTTCCAAGCATCTACCTGGGCCTTAGAATGAGCCCTGGGCTCTCCACCCCAGAGCACAGGTTTGTTCACTAATTTGTGCAGGGAAGCTGGGCACAGCGGGAAGTAAGGAGGCTCAATGTTATGCCCAGCCCCAGGGTAAGAGATGATCTGGGGTTTTTCCTTTCCATGGGCCTGTAAGCGTTCAGAGGCAATTTGGGCATAGAACTCACTCCTCCAGTTACGGTCATCCTGACCAACGATGAAGAGGATGGGCCCCTGGGCCTTCTCTATTGGAATCACGCTGGGGTTCTCACACCCTCCTACAACATCATTCCGCATATCCACAATGTCCAGGAGGCCTGAGAAAGCTACCTTGATTCTCCTCAGATCAAGTCCCAATGCTGGGATGCAAGTTTGCTTGTAGCATACATCTGTGTTTCCACAGACCCCAGATCCATTGATGGAAACTGTGGCTGAGACGTTCTTCAAAAATGAGGCCATGGAGAGGCAAATATCTGCCCCTACAGAAATACCCAGAAGCCCAATGCCTGGGCCTTTAACCTGGAAGAAGAGAGAAGAGTCAAGGGTCAAGAAGCTACCCAATAGAAAAATGTTTTTCTAAATGCAACTAGAGATGCTGCCAGCTTTAATTTGTGAATTTGCCATAAGAGAATCAATCTCAGCTGACAGAGTTTCTTCCCACATAAAGAATGTCTGGCCAAACACATGGCAAACAAATCTTCAAGTCACTGGAAAATTTGGGAATTGGTTACAAATGTTCCAGAGAATCATCTACTAGAGCATGCTGAGTCATGGAGCCTGTCAAGTTCAGGGCCTCATTCAGGTGGGCATGATCAAAGTCTCAACGTGGCTGGGTATCCAATGAGTGGAACCAAGTTCTATTCCAAGAAGTGAATCATTCATCAGACCTCATCTAAATATATTGGCAAATGATTAACTTTATAGAAACAAAGTAAGACTTCAGAGTCCAATTAAATAGTTCTTACCTTCCTAATTGGGGGGGGGAGGGCAAGTTCTGTCTGATCAAAATCTCAGAACATACTCTGATGTCAGCAAATTAAAGATAAAAAACAAGCATGCAAAGCTAATAAATCAGAAACTCCATTTGCAGAACAAAAGGAATTTTAATATTACTAAATAATTCCTTTAAATAAAATCTCACATGGATTTTATGATTAATTCTGCATTATTAATCCATCTGATAGAGAAAGTGGAAACAGGCACCTAAAGCCAAGGAAGTCTCCAAAAGAATCTCTGTGAGAGAAGAGTAGAGCAGCATCAGTGCACCTGGCACAAGTGAGTGCAGAGCAACAACCTCTCTGGAGATATTTCTAGAGAGAATGATACAATAAAGGACATCAGGAGAACCTGGGGGTGTTGCAGCATGTAGCACAGGGCTTCTTCAAAGTAGTCCAGGTGTATGCCCTCCAGTTTCTTGGGGAGATCTTCAAAGTCATAATAAGCCAGAGCCAACGTGGCAAAGCCATGGCCGGCCAGAAGGCTGGCTCGATACTCCAACAGGCCCCCTCCAACACCAAAGATGTCAATGATTCCTGGGAAAGGGCCAGGTCCTAGAGAGGGGAGTAGTATTGAGAAAAGGCATTACACAATTCAAAGCATTTGCTTTCATTTTAGAGATCTAAATTATTTAGTGGGTTCCTGTGAATCAAAGGAAAGAAAACAGCTCCCTGAGTCACTATTGAAAAAAGGATAAAAGTTCCCTGGGGGCAGGAAAATCTACAGTGTACATTCTCATTGGTGAGTTTACTTCCCCACCCCCATGAGATTCTGTGATAAATTCTCTGAATGGTTCGAAGAATCCTTAGGTGTAAAAGAGAGTAACAAAGTCTTTCCTTAATGACTACATCATGGAAGGAGGAATTGCACTTTTTAGTGCAGATTCACGGTGTTCTGTGAGGGGATTGGACACAGAATTAAGAATCTTGAAACAAAGCTTTATGAGGTGTAGCATCAACCCTTGGCTTTTTGTGTACTGATATTGCAGATGTTTATTTAGTGAGAGGCAAGAAAAAGAAATACCCAGAGATGGGTTTAGGTGAGGAAGGCAGTGAAGTCAGAAGTCTGATCTGTGGTAGAGGAATATGAAGAAGTGCAGAAGGGGCCCAGTGTACCCAGGACACTAGAGAAAGGCGACATGGCAATAGCTTCCTTGACTAGTTGGGCCGATGCCTGCAGAGATCTGTAGGGTAGAGGGGACAACATACCTACTGACTCTGACCCATTTTTTAAATCTGCGGAATAACAGTACCCACCTCACTGGGATAGTATAGATATTAAATAAGATAATGCAAGCAAAATGCATATCAAAATCCTCTCCCTCTTTCGGTTGGGCGGCCACTGATTTAGTCAATGTCAGATTCTCTGACCTTGTTTCTGAGCCAAACTCCCCTGAAGCAGTAGTACCAGAAACCCCTGGCGGCCAGGGCACAGGCTCGCGTCCCCCCAGCAGCCCAGGCTCACCTGGCGGCAGGAAGAGCGTGGCGCGCACCCGGCCCGCGCGCACCGGCTCCCGCCGCACCCCGGGCCCCAGGAAGTCGCGCTCGTGCACCGCCCGGCCCAGGAGCCGCCCGCCCTCGGGCTCGTGGCCATCGAGCACCTCCAGCTCCACGGCCAAGGGCGTCTGCACGTCCCGCTTCAGAAACCGCCACAAAGTCTTCTCGGGCTCCAGGGCCCAGAAGAGCCCCATGGGCTCGAGCCCCGCGAAGCTGCCGCCCAGCGCGGGCGCGCGCTCCAGGTCGAGCTCGCCCTCGGCGTCGGCGCGGTAGCGCGCGTGGGCCCGGAAGAGCGCGCCCTTCTCGTCGCGCAGGGACGCGCGCAGCGTGACCAGCTGTCCTGCGGTCAGGCCGCGCACGGCGATACGCACGGGCTCGTCCCAGCGGCAGGGGCCCGTGGGCTCCAGGATGACGGTCGCCCCCATTCCAGCTGCACGCTGCTGGGTTCCGGCCCCAAGCAGCGAAGTCGCAGGTCTAAGTCCGTCAGTCCCCAGTCCTAGGCCGTGGGGAGGGCGCCCCGAGGCCCGACAGGGTCACGTGTTCCCGCACGGAGCGATGGGTGGCTGAGCAGCCTCATGAGGCGTCTATGCGCCTCAGACCCATGAAGTAAAATCCCCTATGGTTCTGGCTTGGGGCACGCGGGGGCGTCCTGAGGTTCTGGCTGTGGCACTGAGCTGGCAGTTGGGAAGCTTCTCTACCTGCAACTAATACCCAACCAAGTGGGCCTGCCCCCTGGTGAGTTAAATAAGACTCTATACCAGTGGAAGTTGTCTCACAAAGTAAAGTGTATTTGCAGCAAATAGGAGGCCATGAGGAATCATTTCCAAAGTCATGGTGTCCCCAAAGGGAAGCAGGAAATTTTATTTCAGTTGGGGAATGAATATTGAAAAGGAGATGCAGGTATACTGCAGATTATGGTAATGAGGCTTAATCTCCTCCTGAAAAGATCTTCTTAAAGATAAGGCAAGGTCATGGGCATAGCTCTTGTAGGGAGGCTTGGTTAGCTTCAGGGTGGTTGCTGGTTGTGTCTCCTTAACATAAAAAACAACTTGGAAAAACAGTTAAATGCTTCCAAAACCACCCTTGAGTTCCTGGACCACTAGTCGGTGACAAAACCCCCTCTAGTTTTATCCTGTTCCTCATTCTTGAGGGGCCCAGGTCAAAGGTCCCGCTTCTGTAACTGCTTCCTGCTGAGCATAGGCGTTGTCATATGGACTGGTAAAGGGCAGAATTTACAGCTAATCTGTAAATAGGTTTGTGGGTCACCAGAGGCATAGCCCCAAATTGTTCATAACAACCATTTGTAATATTATAGCCTCAATGTGTTTAGGATCTGGGCATACTCCCACCCCCCCGGATTCCACTAGCTCTTCATAGTCTAGCTACTGGGTTGCCCATTTCTCTGATGGACCTAGTCTTGCTGCCCAGGAACATGCAACCTGCTTGTAAGCATACTGTGCCTAAATGGTATGGGGTTGGTTAGGATCCAGGGCAGAGCCTGGGGTGGATAGCCGGTCATTACTTATCTGCATGGTGTCACCGAAACAAGAGTTTCAAATCAGAGAGTGTTTTGCAGGAAAACTTGGAGTCATCAATTGTCTGTGACGATCTCTCTTGATGTGCAGGCATGGGCGCCTTTTTTACCCACGTGTGGTGGGTCCAAGGGTTGACTCCTTAGAAAAGAATCTTCAGCAATTTTGATGCTATCATCTCATGGTCCTTTTGAAACTTAAAGAAGTTGCATAGTCCAGAAGCTGAGTGGTATATTGTTCCATCTCACTGAACACATTTCTTAGTCCTGATGACAGATCAGTCCAGTTAAGTTCGTTTTAGAAGGCGGTGATGCAGCTGGGCTCCCAAAGTTAGACCTATATTGTGGAAGCAAGCAATGGGATATTTAATAAGAAGCATTTCTATGGAAACAAAAGAAAAACAAGGTTAATGGTTGGAGTGAATTATAAACCAGTTTCTGAGTTCAGAGGACAGCCAGTTAAGAAGATTTCTAGATGTCGGTGTTGAAGCATCTTTTGCAGCTTAAAATGTCTCTGATGATGTCACGCTGCATTCGGGTATCTTTCTGAGTGGCTTACACAGCAATAAACAAGAATCTCTGAAGTTTATGTCAAGTCCTCCAGCTTCAGTTTGCAAGGCTTCAGGAAAAAGTGCAGGTTCAGTTCTCAATGATTCCAAATGAAAATGATGGGAAAATTGAAAATGTTAGTTTAGAGATTTGTAGCCAGATAGTTTAGGAGATTAGAAGAATTCAGGATCCAGTGCAGTTAACATATATAAAACAAAAAACCTCAAAGACAATTAACAGAATTAGAATCTAATATCCATGAATGTGTACTATAGTTTCTATTGGAACATAATTTTTCTCTCTAAAATCACCCTCATTTTTACCAAAGATAGCCAAATTAAGACTAACTGGTTTGCAAAATGTCTAGTTTCAGTAAAAGTTGATTCAATTTTTTACATAAGTGCAGCAAGAATAGCAACTGATCATATAGGCTTTTTAAAATCTGCTGTGCTGGAATTCTTCATAAGGAATCTCAGGTTGAACTTTAAAGGCCTCTTGAGGCCAGGAAACCCAAGCCAAGGACTTTGTCATCAGACTTTGCCTGCAATACCTACAGATTTGGGTGAATTCCTGTCTTCTTTTGAGGTTCCCCAAAATATTGAGGATTCAGGTACCTGCCAGATAAGTGACTTGCCTTACTCACCTGCATAAAATTCCTTGGAACTTTTGTAAACAAGGTATCAGGCCAATATTTCCAAGTGGCTTTATTCCATAAAGTCCCATCCTGGTCTGTCAAAAGCTGTTTGGTCATATCTGAGTGTATACATGTTTTTCTCAAATATGATATTCCAGTCAAAGCTTTGGTAATATAACCAATGTTTCCAATTGTGTCTTGTCCTAAGGAGAACAGATTCTTATTGAACTTATGCAAATAACTATATTGCCATGAAAACAATACTCACTCACTAAGAATTTCCAAATGCTGGAGGGATCAGGTAGGAAGAAAAAGATAAATGTTCCAATTCTGCTTACAAAGTTATAATTTACCAAATTGTTATAAGTCATAGTTAGCTTAGGAGCAAAGAGAAAAGGTTTCCTTAAATCTGGAAAAAAAAAGTCAAAAAAATCAGCAATATTTCAAATGAAAAATCATAAAAATTATAACAATCATCCTTGGTTCATTCAGTCCTGTATAATCAATTCTTGATCTTAATCTTCTGTTAGCAGTTTTATGGGGCCATTAGTTTCTTCATTAGAGTTTTGTAATTTCTTACCTAGTTCAGTTTTATAATCTGGAAGTTCGTCACAAATCTGTATTCTAGAGTAAGCGCCACAGTCATTTCCATGAATCTCTCTGAAGATGAAAACATTTGCAAAAGCATCAGAATAAAACAATAACTGTCTATAAACAACAAAAGATTTAAAAATGACAATTGACCAAGAAACTTGGTTATTTCTGTGACATACAACACTTCAAAATAATAACCAGAATTATGACTGATAACAAGGACAAATCAGAATTTTAGGAATGTTATATGATTTTTTGTGTGTGTGTGAGGAAGACTAGCCCTGAGCTAACATCTGTTGGCAATCCTCCTCTTTTTTTTTTTTGCTGAGGAAAATTGGCCCTGGGCTAACATCCATGCCCATCTTCCTCTACTTTATATGTGGGACGCCTGCCACAGCATGGCTTGACATGTGGTGCATAGGTCCGCACCTGCAACCCCGGGCCGCCAAAGCAGAGCGCAGGAACTTAACCACTATGCCACCAGGCCAGCCCCATGGAATGTTATATAAATTTTAAAACACTTATATCAATAACATTTACCCACATAATACTGTAAGTGATCATAAGTGAGGCCATCTTGTTACACTAAATGGCCCCAGCCACTCCTCTGTGTGACTACTCCCTGTTCTGCACGTACTCCAAAAAATTCACATGCTCTACTGATTTATGGCCTCTGCTTACATATGTACTCCCTAATAGCTTGATAAATTAAAACTTTGTTCTATGAGTTTGTCTCCAGGAACAGTCTGACCACAGGCGGGAAACACTCCTACAAGGTATCCATCACAGCTGACAGAAGAATGGAACAATGTAGTGCCTGGAGCCCGTCATGTCTGGAAACCAACATCCCTGGACCTCCTCCTTACTGCCCATTTTCCCTATGTAACTGCCTCAAGATTCTGTAATCTTTGAACATGGGTCTTTGGGACATTATTCACCTGTCTTCTGATTTGCTGGCTAATCTAATTAAACTTTGTTTCTTGATCTCTAACTCCTTGTGACTGATTGGCTCAGATTGCAGTGAGCAGAGGGAGCCCATTGCTCGGTATCAAATTCTGGCAACCCAGATGGGACAAACCTCTGCCCAGGGCTAGTCGACTTGGAGGAAGCTGTTTTGGGATTTTTCCCTACAGCTGTTGGGCGGCCTTTTTTTTTTCTCCTTTTTTCCACCTGGGAAATTCTCCTTGTGTCTTCCTCACTTGCCAATTGCCTCTAATGTTTCAGTGATCGGGAAATGGAAGGACTGGATCATAAGATGATGAGCTTGCATCTGCAGCTAGGTGAGTCATCTGGAGTGCGCCTCCCGGGTACTATATTCCTTTTTCCTTGTCTGGGGGCTTTGAGCAGGCCAAGGTCCATCTGGTTTGGGTGCTGTTGTTTAGGGATAAAGAAAAGTACAGACTGCCTAGTATATTAGCTGGAAGACTAGTCTCTGGTTTTTTTGTGATGTGCATGCCTGTATGGTCTGTTCTTCTGTTGAGTGTGTGTGTTGTTCCATTAGTCCGTGTGCCAGTTTTTCTCCATGTCAGAATCCCACAACATACTTCCAGTGCTTGTTACATCCTCAATGGGGACATGAAGTTTGTGACCTTTTCTGTCAAGTGTCAAGCCAGTATTATACACCTCAATGTGGGCACTGCTATTTGTGTGTTAACCCTTGGGCAGAAGCCGTGAGAACACAGCCCGACCATCTTTTCCCCCTCTTTGTTTGTCTTGTCCAGCGCCTTCTTTGCTGTCATCGTGTGGAAGTTAGGTTTGGGCTTAAAGTAAGCTGAACTTTGACTTCCTACAAAATAGAAACTTTCTACCAGGCACTTGACTTCCTACACTGGCTTTGGGAAATTAGATCTTACCTCTTGCCTCTTTGACTTGTTTAACACTGGTATGAGAACGGTACGCTTGGGTGGAGTGGGATTTGCATAAGTCCCATAGTTATCTGGAAGCCCAGAGTCAAGCCCTGCACCCTTTTCCCAGCCCATTAATTGCCAGACACAAATTTTATTGCTATGGGCACCACTCTGTCCATTCCAAAAAAAGGGTCCACTAGGGTACATGCTGGCCAATTGGGCTGATTTCAGTTATGAGCCCATGACAAACAGAAGGGTGATCTTTTACTGTAATGTAGCCTGGCCCCAGTATAC